ATATAATATATATATATTACCCTTTATTTTTGTTCTCATTGAAATCCATTCTTCCACTAACTTTGCTTCTTCTATGCTGGTCATGATTTTGAACCTAAAATGGTTTATCTAGTTAAGTTATGTTTTATTTATAATTTTGAACAATTTAATTCTCTCCTGAAATCTTTTCACCAAGGAAAGACATTTATGGTTATCTTAGAAGCTGTCTTCAATACACTTTTAATAGGAAGTTTATGAACTTTTTGGGTTTTATCATTAAACCCCATCTACCAAGTTGACTATTTTTTTCATAATCCTAAATATAGATATAATTTTGTTAATAAGAGTCTCAGTTTACCAAAATACTTTATTCCACTGAGTATCATAGTCTGTTGAGTTTTTTTTAATTCAGAAGTAAATATTGATATTGGCTAAAAACCAATTTTGATACTTTGTAAAATCATTAACAAGTCAATTTAAACTTTAATGAAATTTGCAAGTATTTTGTAGAAATTCTGCCAGTGAAATGTATTTAGACTTTGCCATATTGTATAAATAATACATTTCCATCACAGCAGGTTGTATCATTTAAAAAATAATTTGATTTTACAATACTGATAGGAAAAAAATTTATTTTACTTTTTGTAAAGCTTGAAACATAGTAGGCTACAATAAAAAGTATGTAAAAACTGCAGAATGAGTGGTTTGGTGGAGTCATAAAGCATATGCTTATAGTTTAGTTGGATTGAGCTGAGTTCTCCATCCTCCATGCCTCCACTAAAACTATAAGGGAGAAATAATCATGTTTTGCATTACTGTAAAAACATATTTGGTACATGAACTCTGTTAATAGTTCTCTACTCATGTATCATAACTATGCATTTTACCGTACAAGATTGACTACACAAAATCACATAGGTTGAACTTAGTATCTATTTAACACCTTTTTAAGGGGAATATTTGCTTTGTACACTTTTTGTCTTATAGGTACTTACTTTAAATCTAACGAAGATGGCATTTTGCTCTAGTAACCTTGATGCCTAAGTGAGCTCTACCAGAGTTGTATGGTTAAGAGGCCACAAACTTCTCAAAAGTGTACTTAGTGTTATACATGTTCTTTCTGAAGTAGGAAAAGCCAGCAGAGCTCTTGTCTGCCCATTTTTCCCAAACCCACAAGAAAAGTAGCCTCACAATATATAGGTGATTTACCAAGTTTATGGTTATCAGAACCTGCCGTAGCACATCATTCAATAGAGTATTTTTATTAGGTAGAGACAAAAATAAATGCATGTACCTATTAGTGGTTACAGAAGAAATGGTAGACATGGTCAGTATTCTTAGGAAATGTGAAGATGACACATGTCTGAGACACTCATAAGGAAGTAAGAGCATTTGTGGCATGTACTTCAAACCTCTTCACTTTTGTTAGTCCTGGTTTCTGCATTGTTGACCTGCTCACCTCTGCAGAACAAAACACACAACTGAACAGATAAAAGCATCATCATGATGTGAATAACACTTTCATTTTCAGAAATATGTGAAAAGTGGTGATCGAGGTTAAGGCACCAGAGATTGAAAGGAGTGATTAAGATCTCAAATAGTTTAGATCTGGGCAAGAGGTATAGTTAATGAGTTTTTTCCCCGCCCTCCCTTAGTTTTTATCCTTTCCTACAAACAAATGTTATCTGTATTTGACATTGCAGCAGGTATAAAAGCCAGAGAATACCATGATTTTTGTTATTTACCACCATGTTAATGATTTATTCTAGTTTTAGATTTTTTCCCCCTCCTCTTTAGAAGGCAGTGGTCAAGAGCACAGAACGGGAGCCAGAGTACCTGGATATGAATCCCAGCTCTGCCACTTACTACCTGTATGATTCTGGACAACTTACTTAAATTCACTTTACCTCAGTTTACTCGTCGGTGAATTGGGGATAATTACTTTATAAGGCTGTCATAAGGATTAAATGTATGTAAAACTATGGCTAAATTAGATAAATCTATATAAAGTGGTTAGGTCAGTGTCTGGTACATAGTGACTGCTATGTAAGTGTTGAGTTTAATACTATGTATATCAGAATTTATTAACTAG